CTGATATCGGGGCACATACTGTAAGGCGTAATGTAATCTTTTATGCTATGTGGAAGGGCTACGTAATGAAATAATCTCCTAAACGACTATGACGAAAATGCTGTTCTTCTAGATAAACAAATTTGAACAATAAGGCAAAAAGTTGGAATTAAGCATTGAAAGGCTGTGATTCGACTGTTCAAAACTACACTTTTGGTAGAGTTATAACACATTGAGGCTGTTTGGGTGGTCCAGGCAATGTCCAGTGCTTCGAACCATCGCTTCCATCAAGACAGAACACTACCAATGTTCACAAGTAATTGTCTATTCTGGCCGTACCTTTGACACTCGGTACTCAGCAGCTTTCTGGTGGCAGCACCACTTTCAAAGAAATAACTGGTGATATTGCTGACACTATTGTTAATGAAAGTGCTGACAAAGAAGCATTGGCCACTACTATGTCTGACTAAGAACCCACGTCTGCCACATTCAATCAACAAATAAATGCACTGAAAGAAATGCTACTCCTAAATGTTATGACGAACTGGGATAGTATATTTTCTGTGAATCAAGAAAAACTCACAAATATGTTAAACTTTTACACTGCAAGGCTCATGTTTTGTCAAACTTTGCCACTGAATCAGATATAATTCTGCAGCTTTTAAAAAAAAACATGGTATGCAATCGAGACGAGTGCTGTCAGACTTTTTTTTTTCTGGGGTTGCATCCCATTTTCTTTTTTTTTCTCAATGCCAAAGTTGAAAAACTAATGTTGCATCCATACAAAGGTGGACCTGTACTATATTGCCGCGGCAGAAGAATACTACCATTCTTCTGATATATATAGCTGACTTGCAAACACTTTTCATGATTGTAGCAGCTGCACATATAAAAAAACTGTGACATTCAGTGTCCGGAACTGTCGCCTGGCACAAAAAACATTTAAAATAAAAAGAATATGCTATGAGACATTAATAATGAAATCAGAAAAATAAAACTTCAGCTATTTTGAACATCACTAGTATTGCTTATATGGTTAGAACAATGTTACTGTTGTCATGTGATTTATGCCAAATATATGTACTAGTATTTTTGCCCAATGTGCATGTTCCTTCTTTAATTAAGATTTCATAAAAAATATATTGAATAAAACAATTACATTTATTCAAATAATGGAGTTTCTTAGTTAGGTGTCGCATACGACTTGTTTACCACTTCCGTGTGACTGAGAATGTTCTAGAACCGTACTGTGTCTGGGTGGAATTTTTAGAAGCTGTTTGAATAGATAATAGGACACTGTAGAGGGCAATAGAAGGTAATGGAACATTCTAGAAATTTGTAGTAAATTCCAGACTCATTATGTATGCTGATGTAATGGTCTATTTATAGACAGTGTGGGTATATATAGGGGAGTTGTTCAGCACTGAGATCAGATCGGAGATCTCGTTGAATTGTATTGGAGTTTAAGTATCTAGTTATTGGAGTAGTGGAGTTTTATCGCGTTATTGTACTTGATGTTTGCAGAGTATAATAATACCAGTACCAGTTGAAACCTCATCTGTTGGCTCCGTGTTCGTATTTTATCATCGCCGCCAGGGAAGTCTTTTTGTTACTGTTGCCATTTTGGTATTTGAACCATCACACCTGTACTATACCAATTACGGTAATATTACGTTGCGTGTGACATTAGGTCTATGCATTTGTCTGCAGTATTGCTTGTGCAATATAACATGCATCCCCTGCGTTCTGTATCATTACAATCCGGTATTATAAATATGGACACACCCCCTGCTAATTACCACTGCATCACGCAAACCGTTGTTGAATGTTGCCATGACTACATGCAAATCATTGCAAAACGCAATGCATCTAACTCATTTGTTCACATTATTACTGGTAGACCATATGTTAATGTTGATTGGACGTTATCGAAAAACTGCAAATATCAGCCTTAATGTTTTCTTTTAATTATTTTTAGTTGAAAATATTTATTATCCAACTTTTGAATAGTTTGAACTTCAAATCTTCTGGAATCGGCGAGGTCTGAAGTGCTGGTTACTGAGAAAACTGACCCTTGTGATCCATTTAGGTTTGGACTGTGGTTTTACTTAAAGCGCGGTGGTCGTCGCGCAGCGCGTGTTCGAATTTCTTGTAAATAAATAATGTATTTTACATGCGTTGTATACGTCGCTATGAGTCCCATATCAAACAGGACGCGGCACGTTTTTATAGCATGTTTTTCTCCAAACAGTCTCCTGGAGCTAACCTGTCAAAACACTCAGACCTGTACTCCACAATGCGATTGGGGAAGTATGCAATCAATAACAGACAGTATCAGGTTAAATTCATTCTCAACAACCAGTCTCTATTAACAGTGCCAGCTCTTCGACGTCTCCATTGGCATCGTTGCAATTCATAAGCAGTGTACTTGGCTGCGTGTACTCTGGGATTACTCTAGCGCCTTCCACTCACCTCAATTCACCCTGTTACGCACTACTTATATATAGATATATTCTCTGCATTCAATATATCAAAGTTTATAGCTATCATAAAGTACTGTATGGTACTAGGATTAGTAACTCCTTTTTTATGGTGTACACAACTTGAGAAACAAACTCAATCGGTATCCTGACAGCCCCGTGCACCCTTACAAGGATTTGATCGGATAAGGGTCAATGCAGATCACTGATCACGTAACCCATTCTGAACAGTTATCTGAAAATTATATCCAAAGCAAAATAATTTAATGTAATGTTAACGTTGTTATCCTGTCCATTGCCAATGATATGCTTGACATGGCCGTTAGTCTGTATATAAACATGCGGATATTAATTTCGAGAATTATTAAAAACACGCACATATATATAAGGTTATTAGAATTAGAGAGTGCACACGAAGACAGTACAGCTGGAGCAGGGTACCTGGACATAGTCGCACGGCCCCATAGACGTCCACGCATTGAGACGAATAGATCGTCAAGCCCCTGTGAGCTGGAGTATCGACCGACGCGCAGCGTACTGTCTGAGTGCATACTTCGAGGTATTCTCGTAATAACCGTATTATTATACATCGTTTCCTTCCAAGGACACATCATGGGAATGCCGAAATCCAGAAAGTTTAGAACAGAATCAGCGAACTTCTTTGTGTGGAGTACGATCAACCCCCCGATGGCAGCCATGTTTGTTTATTATTATTAGAGGACCCTTACGCGCGTAATCATTCCATATTTGGAATTCGCATTTCCCTATATGGTAAGATAAAATACCCCGTAAAATACAGCAAAATTATAGTACGCTGTAACTTATGGCGTTACGGTGACAGATGTATAAGAATATTTAATAATAGCAGCAACAAACGGCACTGTTATTTATCTTCTGACGCATGCACGCGAAACGTGAACAAAACGTGCGACGTGAAAATAATTGTTACTATATCAACAATATGGGAGCTAGCTAATTCCAGTATTGCACAACGAGATTAAAAATCGAGACAGATCATAACATTTACAGTAAAATAAGAATTGTACGATTGCATGGTACCTAAATGTCATAAAAACATTCTCTAGATTGATTAGCTAATTATCTTATTTGAGTATTACGGTTTGATTGATAATTTTGAAGTATGTGTTTGGTCAGTTACAATATGTATTTGCCGCGATGATTCACCAGGCTGTATAGTATTGAGAATATATAACGAATAACCGCCCTGGGACGAGTATACTATAAGGTGTGGACCAACACATATACACACGTGCGATACCCAAACATGCAGCGCTGGGTTAGGAGTCTATCGTTGTAACGGACGAGTATTTAAAACTATTGGTCTCTTGCACGTGTGCTATTCCTGTCACTGATGCATGTGAACAAATCATAATGATTTTACACGGGCCGATTGAGGTTTGCTCTCCTTTTTTTATTTTCCCGACAAAATAGATAATTTCCTATACAAGACAAAACTAGTCATGTTTGCTTTTCACCATAGTAACCAGCGTAAAATCCACTTCTGTCCATTTATTTGACATTTTGGACTTTTGTGGCTCAAAAGATTTCCTTTTTAGTTGCGGTATTCTCATGATATGACCACCATTATAGTGGCAGTGTGATAATATGGAACCTCCGTCAACAACGTATATTTAAAAAAAAATATTAGGATTTTTGTGATAAATGAAGACATTGAGTTCCCAGTAAATGACATTATTCTGATACAGTTATGGAGCGATATTTTATAACAAATAATTAATAGAGATTAGAATGTTCTGTTTTGTTTTTTTGTTTTTATTCAACTGTTTAATACTTCACTCTAATATTATAGAAATAACAAGATTCAAATACATCTTTACGTCTGCGCATTTTTGAATAACAAAATAATAATTAAAATTCTGGGCAGTGATACAATAAAGAAAGTTCCACATAAATTCACGAAGTTCAATCAATTGTCGCGTGAAAAGCGACAACAAATCACGCTGTGTTCTACGCAACAGTCCCCGCAGCTTATATATACGAGCTTATTAAACACACTGCAATCAAGAATCACCTGTCTTGCACGCCGTCTCTGGTTTCTATATAATACGAATTGCACTCGGCGCGATACAATGTGTCTGTCGGCTTGCGTACATTAGTAGCTCGAATATTGTTGGGAAAAACACAGATACGGAAATCGCCCAATCGAACATCTGAAGAGGGCGATATAACCAGATACTGTGGCTTTTCGGAAGATTCTATTTCACGTATCAACATTGTGGCTAGAATCCCTTATCGAAAGTTGTGTGCTCAGCTTCATAACTAAATTCAAGGATAGGACATGTAATTGTCTATGCTGTGTGATTACGATTAATGAAACAATGCTGATAAATTAGGACTTTTTAGGAAATAAAAAGGTTTGTGTATGGTTGTACATGAGGATGGTGTCATACAGTACTATTGTAGCGCACCGACACAATTACAAATATATATATATATATATATACAAAAATCGCGTGTTGGCAGGGTAACTTAGCATTAATTTAACATTTCCCTTATAATTTATTCATTCAGACTGACTTGTATACCAATATTTCTGAACTCTCGGTGTGTGTCTGCAGTATCGTCGTTTACTGTGTACAAGGTTGTTGAATCACGGAACGCTCTCAGTAGCTTCCCGGCGACAGAAGAACAAGCTGCTAAAATGTATACGGTACCAATCATGTAAAAGGAGTAATCGTAGTTCCCCGTAACATCAAACAACCACCCTATTGAAAAATAACACAGTTCTAGTTAATAATTGTAAAGATTATACATACCAGTTTTATAGAAAAAAGTTGTTATTCAATTCCCGTGTATAAACTATAAACGAATGCTGTGGGTAATTTCAATCAAAGAAGGGGTTTAGAAAATTTGATAATCAGTATGCCACAACGTCCCAGCACAAATTAATCTGTGCTTGAATAATCTTTTGCGCCAATCCTGTTTTTTTTAATAAAAACAAATTGTCTTGGTAACATTCACAAGGAAAACTTTTCTGCACAGCAGATGACAGTATCAAAAAGCTAACTAAACATATGTATCACAACTTTTTCTCTATTGTTTTTATCTGAAGGAATATAACATATAAAAATATTACGCTCACGTGATATACCATCCGATCATGTGGTCAGCAAGCTGATTTTCATAAAGTTAGCCATTTATGAACACTTTAGAAATGTTCGCGCACAGCACACAAAACAAGTGAATCCACCCACACACAAAAACTATCATATTACAACTCATCGCTACTTCAAAAATGTATTGCTACCCATCAAAATTACAACCAAAAATCACACAGACACTGGAGAACTATAAATATTCACACTTCACCCCAAACTTCACAAGTCGATGCAGGAGTGGGTCTAAAAACAAAAGAACACTGAAATACAGCAGCAGTCATTGAGGGCATAGCTCATAATGAGCCGCTAAATCACACTCACCCCCTCACTGTCAGAGTATTGAAATAAAAACAGACGACCAATAAGACATGGCCTACAATAAACAGGGCGACAGACAAAGATGCGTGTGTTTTGAGTTTGACGCAACTAACCACTTTTCTCGTGGTATAGACATTCGGGAATATATTTCTACTCCCGTCACGTACATTCAACTAGTTACACATACATACACTCACACACATATATATGTAATATACTCACCAGCAAAGGGAGGACCGATGAACACACCTATACCAAATATAAACAGGGCAACTGCCGATGCGACTAGGAATCTCTTTTGACCAACGTACTCTCTTGTGCAGACAAGAAACGTTGCAAGGTAAACCCCACTTGACAGTCCACTCACCACGCTAAATACACAGTATGCGATGTAAGTCCTTGCTAAGTGCGGTATGAAACACGGAATACTGGCAGTGCTCAGACTCACTATGTGACAGCTGGTAGCCGACACGAGATTTTTCTGAATCACAATCCCAACTGTAATCCTAGTGATTATGCTGCTCACCCCAACTAAAGCCTGTAGTATGGCAATTAGATGTGGTGCGCCGACTGAATTATCAATAGCCCTGGGCTGCAAATGTACCATCAGACCGTTTAGCGCTATCCCAAGGAAGAACACCGAGACCATATGCATGATACATTGTTCAATATCAGAAGGGATAGGTTTTCTATAGCAGCTCTTGCGTTTTTTCATTTGTTTAGTTTCCGGTAAATGTTCAATTTCAGCCATTTGAGTCTGCTTTTTCGGTAAAGGTCTCAATAACAACCCACCGACAAAAACATTGGCTGTTATAGCGCCTAACACCAAGAAAGCTCCTCTCCATCCATATACCTGAATATTAGTTTGGATAACCAACGGGAATGCAAACATGAATACAGGAGGTCCAAGCGTGGCTATACTATTAACTAATGGATATCTCTTTGGGAAGTACTGACCCATCGTTGCGAGTACGGGAGGCATACATATTGCAAATCCCACACCTAGAAAAAAATGAACCCGCGTAAATGTAATTGTTCGCTTTTGATTGCATGTGAATCAGAGGAAAGATATGAAAGATCAAACCAGATTATTTTAGCATGTTAGTGATAGTTGCGAAATATTGTTTGTCTTACATCAATTGATATTAATTGGTTTTAAAGGTGATAGAGGTGCGCTAATTTATGATGATTCAATTACGATACGTAACAACGTTCAAAGAATAATTATATCCTTACTATAAATCGCGCCCTCTAGTGACGATTTTACAAAATCGTCGGGTGGCACAGAAGCCGACCATAGCGTTCATTTCACTTTGACCTGTTTATAAATGAAGATATTTTTTGAGAAATATTACTATATTTTAGACGACGATCGACTACACAAACCAACACTGTTGCCGATTCAAACTATATTTCCCTCACCCATTACGTAGTCTGATTTCTCAGCAAGAAAGCTCCGGTACTGGACGGAGTACTGTCGTCATATAATACATCTTTTTAATGTCACAAAAGACACATTATTACACATTATATATATATATATATATATGTATATTTATGACATACCTGGCATTAACCCTGTTGTGAAGCAGAGAAATATAACGCTCGTTGCAAAGCTGCTTATTATGAAACCAGACACGATTAGGACACCACCTACCAATACTGTAAGACGTGCCCCTATACGTGATGCCATTAGAGATCCTACCAACCCTGTAATTCAATATTATGTATTGTAAAACGCGATGTCGGATGATCGCAAAACCATTAGCGTGAATGTCTATGAACATACAAAATATCACTGCCATTCTGAATCTCATTCGCCGTCGACTTGGACCCATTCAAATCACACTTTATAAAATATTGTGGTTTGCAATAGATATGCCATCGGTTACGGTATTTATAATAATATTTTGATAGATTTGATGTCGTGAAAATAGACGGACTTGGTTTATGACAGCAATTAAAGCACTGTATATTTATGTATTCAGTATACCAGTAATGGACTACTTTCTAAGACTATGGTCATTAGTGTTACGAGAGTGGCGTCATGTGAGTGGAGTGTTTTGAAGCATTTACAAATGTATAATGATGTAAAGTTGCAAAGTTACTTACCGAAACACGCAGTTGAGGCAGATTCGATGGACAGAATCCAGGAGGCTTTCTCGGCGTTTGTGTTGAAGTGTCTTTGAAATTGGATGTAAAATGACCCTAGTGACCATGACATAGCACCGGCCATTCCGTAGACAATGAACGTCGCTATGACAATCATCCACCCCCAGCCTCCATCTGGCCCTTCTTCTACCAATTTATTTCGAGCTTTGACCATAATGCTGATGATGTAAATTACGTCATACGTACTAGTATGTTAGTGAAACATTATTATTGTTAATGGTAGAGTACATATCATGTTGCGCCTTCCTCTGGCCCCATTATTAGCGTTCACTATTGGACGGCTAGAATTATGCAAACACACAACATTAATCATGATATCACTCTTACATGAAACACAATAAGGAAGTGCAATTGGCAGTTTAAAAAAATCGAAAATTAAGTATGTTAAATTATTAAAATTTGATCAACATTTTGAATTCTTATATATGTAAAACATACATCCGGTGTGGGAATATACATTTTTTTAAAATCATCACTGAAAAAATGTACTCTTATAATGTGTGTTTGTAAGTAGTGATTTTATAATATGAGGTTAATACGAGAGTACCGCAAAATATGCACGAAGACAGCAACCGACGCGCAGGAATGTCGACATCCAAAAAGTTTCGAACTTTTTTGTGTGGGGTCCGTTCAAACCTTGGGGGCTGTCATGTTTGTTTTTTCTATTTTTAAGGACGCTTACACGCGTAATGGTCACAGTTCCATATTTGGAATTCGCATTTCCTAATATGGAAAGATGCAAATACCCAGCGCAATTTCGCAAAATTACGGCGTTACGGTGACTGACGTATAATAATACAAAATAACTCTCGGAGAAAATATAACTGCACCTTAAGTTTGGTTCATAATGATTGTAGCATCAAGCATTGTGTGGAAACAATTTAAGTATGATTGATATCAAGTCGTGTCACGCTGTGTTATTTCATCTAATATGGCACTCTGCTTTTTACTGAACACATGGGACATGAAAATAACGACCATACTCATTCAGTAATTCACTTCTTTACTAATATATTTATCTACTGATTGTGTAACGTACATGACAACAATTGTGTAACGTATATTTCAAATGTCAAGGTCAATAATAACTGATTTTACGAATAATAAACGATACACTGCTAAATATGCATGTCGTCCATGCTAACAAACTACTGTGAAGCCATGGTTAACAGATTGTTATTATTCGTTTAAGGGGAATTGAAGAGGCAATTCTGCGCAATGTAAACTTAGCCACTGGCTAACGCTTTTCTCATCCTTTGTTAGGTACTTAATGTACATACATTGAGGAATGGTAGTGTATATACAGTGGTGTGCATAAAGTGCACTCTAGGCCCTCTGAGACTCTCAACTTTATTTTAGTTTACTTTAGTTTAGTTTACTTTAGTTTATTGTCCATGATCGGATTCTGAATCTTGTTATTGGTTCTAATGTCCCAACAAGCACGTCTATTGCATTGTAATTTTTTGTCAAACGTGTTTTAATCTGTACTTTTTCAAATAGCCGACGAACGGGTGTTTTTGTCGTTTATTTGCTGTGTTTTCACTACATAAACCTTAACTTAGCATTAGCTTATCATCAAAGTGATATATCCATTAACAGAAAATACTGTTTGTTCAGAGCAGAATAAATGTAACTAATGAGTACACTTAAATAATGTAAGATTCAGTCGAAAACACTCAGAAGCATTATACTATTTTGTATCGAATTATGTATCATCAAAGTTTATGAAATCAATTTATAGTTGAGTGTAAAACTCGTTAATCTTTAGAAGTTTTTTTTTAATAGACACACTCGAGGATTATAAATGCAATACTACGTTGCTGAAATGTACTTTATTTCGAGTAACGTACATTGCAGCTCTGATTCGGTCAAGTTCACCTTCAGAAGACATACACGACATATAATGAGTTGTATACCAGCTTACTAGATTGGGCGGTTACTACGCTCTTAAGAACACGGCATATACAACACCAAGTACCATAACAACAGTTTAAATCAACAAACATACCACACACATTGCGCATTCAATTACTGCGTTGTACCAGGTAAAGACGAAGATGTGCTTAATACTCAAGGGAACATCCTCATCCTCGTCCAAGCCTTGTTATCACGTAATATTGTGAAGTAGGGGGGGGGGTCCTTTACTTCATTTATAATACCAACAAATTGAATATACGTACAGTGGTAACTTGAGAAGAATTGTAAATTTAATTTAATGTAATCTTAACTAAATGTAAAGTAAAAGTCAAGGCCAACAACATAAAACTCCCAGATGAAAAAAGAATTCGACACATGTAAGAAAATTCAATTTACAGTTTTTTTATATCACTTTTCATTTTCTAGATATTCAAATTTTCATCAGTTTATGTAGTTCATCAGCAAAGAATTATGGGTAAAGTATGACATCATATCCACTACTGTGAGTAAATGATTTCATTCATAACTCCAAAAGTTGAACTTCAAATTGGCTTGCAATAGCATGCATGTAGCGGTGCCGAACATGCATATAAATAGTTGCCATGGTTATACAGGTGATATATAACCTGTTGACCACAAAAAGGCGACAAAAATGTTTAATTTCATTTTTAACGAACAAAGTAACGATTTTTATTTATTTAACATTTTTGGCGAAATCTTTAATTTTTTTTATTTGTAACATTCTTATTTCCTTTCCTATAATTATATGCATGAGTAATATGTACGCCAACAATTTGAACTAATTCTCATCAGTATTTATCACGTTATTGATGAAAGTATTTTCTCAATTGTTCAAAACAGTGGATATAACACGTCACACTTTACCCACAATCCTTTGCCTGAGAGTCAGGGTGGCGGACTACATAACACTGATGAATTATATGCATGAGTAATATGTACACCAACAATTTGAACTAATTCTCATCAGTATTTATCACGTTAGTGATGAAAGTATTTTCTCAATTGTTCAAAACAGTGGATATGACGTCACACTTTACCCACAATCCTTTGCCTGAGAGTCAGGGTGGCGGACTACATAACACTGATGAAAAGTTGAATATCTAGAGAATGATAAGTGATATAAAACATTTAAATTGCTTTCTTCTACATTCGAGGAGCTCTTTCATCTGGGAGCATTTTGTTGTTTGCATTTTTGTGACATTTTTATCGAAAACCTGGAAGGCGTTACTGTACTGGTTAAGGTATTGAACAACTCATGTTGTCATGTACGCGCCCAATGAAACAACCAGTAAAACAAGTGAAAAAACTCATTATAGGGATACACATCACGGGTATTCTACAACGTGGACGTCTAATATTCGAAGTAGGAATGTCCATTAGGGATATAATAGACTATAGAAACGTACTGTAATCAGATATATCTAAGTGTTACTGTGATATCGCAATCCACACTTCTAGTGCGATGTCCGCATTCCAAATAACACGATAACGACGCGTAGAGCACCAATAAAGTCACAAAACTATACGTCTAAGAAGCTGATAATCTTGCGTACAATATTTATCGAGCAAAAATTCCTGAGAGGCAATTTGCAAAGCACCAAATCGGAAAAGTCATGTTTAAGGGATCGTTGAGTGAATTGTCTCCTTGAAACAGATTTTACAGGTTTTACAGTATACCGGTCGATATACTAGTTTTAAATAAGACATTCTGTACATTAAAGAGCTGTTCATCCCATCTGTTTCAATGACTGTTTTCTTTGATCAATTCATGGAAACATTTAACGACAAAGATTCCGTATCACTATTTTCCTACCCCCCTTCGTTGTTTTATAGTGAATTAGGAAACGGGCATCGTTACTGTATACTGTGAAATACTTACGGACGTACTGATGGAATTAACTTTCGCTGAAAATACATTTTGGGTGTTCTGTATGGAATTTATTTTCACTGATTTCTGATGAGTTGAATATAAAATATAGAAAAAAAGGTATATTTGCTGTATTTTATTTTCAATGAATCATACCTTCAGCGAGAATAAAGTATTCTACAGTATACAGTAACGATGCTTGTTTCCTAATTTACTATAAAATATTAATTAAGTCATATTTCAAACCAGTTTGTGCTAATTAAAGCACATAACGTTCTTCTTAACAATTAGCGTTGCCGATGATCGAATACATTAAGGGATAATACAATACTAGTCACCGCCACTGCATAACAGCAGGCAGGTGTAGCCCTCCAAGTTGACGAAGCGGCGTACCACCAGCAAAGCACACAGTGTATTGAAATGCGTGTAAAGGCAGAGTATTTCCACCTTAAATAACAAAAATAATAGCCTTGAATAAAAATAGATGCTCTCCTTGTGTTTGAATAGGCTAATAATAATAACAGAAAAAAGCATCGTCTTCTTCGATTCACTGAATGTATGGTCTGTGTCGTTAGCGCCTTATGAACGGCAGGGGAAGCTGACAATTTTGACGGATGTGAATAAACGCGGAAATGTCATGTCAGGTGGCGCACCGACTTGTTGATCGAAATCGAAAACAACATGGTCAGAAATGGCAGTCATTGAAGCTACCAAGTCTATTCATTTGTCAACTCCACTTACCTGTTCAATGTTACGACAAATTAGTCCAATCGAAACTGTCAAATCAAAAGAATACGCTGTATCTGTCAGTGTATAAAAGTGATACCCAATATAAATACGTACAATAGTTTGGCGATTCTATGTAGTCTGTCTGTCACGTAATGAACTTTTCGACCCATTTGAGGCCGTTTTTTCTTTTAAAAAGGAACTCTCAATGGGTATGATTTACTTTGTTCCTGTATAAAGAGGGTAAACAAAGTTAAACGGTTAAATGGTTATTACATCTAAGCTAGACTAGGCCGGTGTGAATGTTCTCGTGGTCGTGTAAAATGGACCATTAGTTGACAATGTTGGTAGTATTCAGCACGTTGTGCGACGAGCTACAAAGCGTCAAGTAGGAACCATAGTCATCAAGCCAATACACAGCTTTGTCACATTCAAGGCTGGCTTAAATTAGCTCTATTCACGATGACTGCCTAAAGTGCGTGATCTCATGAGTCTTTAAAACGAGGGCAGGTGTGGTAATTATAACGGTACACAGTACAACTAATACGTATGTATAAAATATATAACTAAGTAAAAATATTACGAGGTTATTACATCTTTTCTTCCCAGGAACACATCATGGGAATGCCGAACTTGAAATCCAAAACGTTTCAGAACAGATTTAACAAACTTCTTTGTGTGGGATCCGGTCAAACTCTGGGGGTAGCCATTTTTGTTTTTATTATTAGAGGTTCCATATTTGGAATTCGCCTTTCCTTCTAGGGTAAGATGAAAATACCCCGTAAAATACCGCAAAATTATGGCACGCTGTAATTCATGGCGTAACGGTGACAGATGTATTATGAATTCAATTATGTACGGGACAGTCCGCCGCCATTGAGACATTATTTCACAATATCGCATTGAAAGTTGAAATGGTTGCATTGAGATATAAAAATTAACCTCAACTAACCGTCTACTCCTATCCCCAGTTTAAATAAATGGATTTCAGAACTGAGGTGAAATATTGAATTTTAGCCTGCGGTAAAAGATGGCCCTCGTATTTGACGACAAATACGGACAATATTATTAGTGGGCGACCTAAACTACTAGTATGCACGTTAGTACTCGCGGTATGTTTCAATGCTGTTTTTACAACTGTTAGGACCAGTCATAGACAACTGTATACGTATTGTACATTGCATGTTCTAACTGGCGTCCCACTGATGACGAACAATCCCCAAAGTGTAGTTTCAGACCAATTTAGCACCTTCCAAAATGTCATAAGCAGGCTTACAACACTCTGGCCGCTATACTTTTTTTCATGGGTGTAATATCAGAGGGTCGCGCCAATGAAATAATGTTAAGGTGACTATTGTTTTAGACACTCTTCCTATCACTACATTGTATATGTAATTTCAGAAACTAAGTACTAAGACAAATACGTTGTCATTATGTAATGTAACCTGTCAACCTACAATATTTTAACATGATATGCGAATAATTTAAATAAATCCCGAAACACGTGTAAACATTACGGGATCTCGACACGTGCCAAAATGTGGAATCTTTCTTAATTGTAAATGGATTACAGCAGTTGCGTACACGTTAATCGGGATTCACTTGGGACCCACTCGGCTACATATGAAAATTGGTGCTTACAAGTCTTAGTAGGGGATTTGGATTATAACACGATCTAAATCCAACGTTAAGCCTATAAACGTTCCATTGTTTTTAGTGCCAAACCCCTTTGTTAAGTACAACAACAAATATTTCATTGGTATTTGTGAGCTCTTGTGTGATTGGTCAATGCATGGACAGCTCTTCCACTTCCGTGTTTTACTCCCTATCAATTTGGGCCCTGTTTAACCATAGACAGTATAGTAGTATAGTAACACCAATGTCAAACGCCGTATGCCCAACGTAAGCAGGGCTGGAATATTATGATGAGCAAGTAAACAATGACGTCATATTTACTTCCATACGATGTCACTAATTAATTGAATAAAATTAAAAGTTAGTTTCAGACGGCAGTAATGTTTCCGTACATGTTATATTCAGTCTGTACCCCATTTTCGACAAAATATTTGAATATTTTTGTTTTCATGGTGCATGAATCTTATTATGTTATTGTTTACCGACTATGCTCGTTTTTTTATTTTTCTCTGCCACGCATTTTTTTTTTCAAACAGACTTTGAATCCGTATGTTCTCTCGTCTGTCACATC